TTTGTCCTGATGCTGTGCCTATAGTGATGGCCTGACCCCATGGGGGTGGGGGAGCCACCCAGGCAGCAGGGCCTGCCCCACCGCCCTGAGGAGGCCATCTGCAGATGAAAAAACTGAGGACAGAGCAGGAAGTCAGCCACTGGACAGGAGAGCTCAGAGCTGGCCCACTGTACCCCCCACCTCCTCTCCAACAGCCTCCCTATCCTGTTTTCTCTATCCCCTGCTTCGGCCCAGAAAAGGGTATTGAGGCCTCGCCATGACCATGGCTGGGCTCTAATTCAAATCCCACCTATTTACTGTGTACCTTCTTTGTCCTTGCCCCACGTGCCCACCTGGGGTTCTGTGACTGAGTAAGCACTAAGCCATGAGTCCAGAGACCTGGGTTCGTCCCCCCCTTTAGCCTGAGCTCGCAGTGTGGCTTGGGTGCTCCTGGGCCGCCCTGGGCCCTGGGTTTCCTATCAGTGCGGTTGAGAACTGGCCATCTGCACGGCTACCACTGTCTGGGTCCTCCAGCTCTTACCGAGGCTGTTTAAAAATAACTGCATCTTCCTGCCTGTCACTCTCCCTGTCAGCTGTCACCCCTAGCTCCGCATCCCCACCCCTGAGCCCCTCGCCCTCGCTAATTTCTGCTTCCACTCATTCTCAGCCTTGAACTGAGCCCTCATGAGATACCCAGTCTGCCAGGAGTAAGGGGTCCCACCCACCCCCACTTTTCTGATGCAATTTTAGTTCTGGTTGGGAAGGGGTCTCTGCTAGGTGCTAACTGGGCTTTGACACTTGCTTGACCCCGTTTGCCATGGGAGGGTTTGGGCAGGAACTGGAAGCTGGAAATAGGTTATCTGAGCAGACAGGTGTTGAACATCACTAGGGTCACCATGGACAGCTGCACAGGCTGTACGCTGCACAAGAGTCCTGGGTAAGCTGGGGCTTAAATCCAGCCATGTTCCCCTCACCAAGCCGGGCACCTGCCATGGCCCTGCATCCACCCACAGGGGGCGCCTGAAATGGCTTCCCCTGGACCAGGGAGGTGGGTTGTCATATGACCATTGCCAATCCCCAGCCCAAGTCCCTCAGTCCCCCGGCCTCTCCACCTTTCCCAGGCCTTGACCAGCCCCCAGCAAGCCCTGGCTGGTGGGTTCTGTCCCCAGGCCTGCAGAACAGCCGCCTTTATCAGGAGCCAGCCCTCTCTGGCAATGCATGATACCCAGGAGATGGAGCCGCTGCCGTGGGGAGCCGCTGTTATCTGGGAGGCTCGGCCCGCCAGCCGTGGGGCTCCGATTAGGGAGCATGGCCGTTTGCCTGTGGGTGCCTATGTGGGCAGGTGGGGGGCAAGCCAGAGCCAAGGCTCCGGAAAGGGACCATGGGTCCCCACAGGTATGACAAGCAGGGGCAGACTGGGAGGTCTGGGGCTGCCCCACTCTTTCTGTTGCTCAGGGAGTGGCCTGAGCCAGCTGCCTTCCTCCCACTCCGTGTCCCCATGTCTTGGCCCACACATGGGAAGACTGAGTTGAATTCTGATTCCTCCTCCCACAGGAAGGTGGGCACCAGCCCCAGATGGAAGGTGTTGTCTCCTCATGGGGTTCCAACAAGGCCAGGAATGACTCCTACCAACATTCTGCACACAGAAAAGAAAACAGGGAGTCATGGCCACTGTGCCTGTCCTGTCTATGGCCCCAGCAGGAGAACTAGTGCCGGAGGAGCAAGTGGGAAACCCGTTTAAGAGGTCCAAGTGCGGGCCAACCCCTGTGTGGCTTATTGGTATCTGGTTGTCAGGATAGGGGTGAGCCATTGCATTAGGATTCTGGATCCCGCTGCCCTAAGTGGGCAGTGCACAGACTCGGCCCGTGGTTGGCTCCCTACGGACAAACGCATGGATGGACAAATGAGTGCCCTCCCCATGTCTTGGCCCACACATGGGAAGACTGAGTTGAATTCTGATTCCTCCTCCCACAGGAAGGTGGGCACCAGCCCCAGATGGAAGGTGTTGTCTCCTCATGGGGTTCCAACAAGGCCAGGAATGACTCCTACCAACATTCTGCACACAGAAAAGAAAACAGGGAGTCATGGCCACTGTGCCTGTCCTGTCTATGGCCCCAGCAGGAGAACTAGTGCCGGAGGAGCAAGTGGGCAACCCTGTTAAGAGGTCCAAGTGCGGGCCAACCCCTGTGTGGCTTATTGGTATCTGGTTGTCAGGATAGGGGTGAGCCATTGCATTAGGATTCTGGATCCCGCTGCCCTAAGTGGGCAGTGCACAGACTCGGCCCGTGGTTGGCTCCCTACGGACAAACGCATGGATGGACAAATGAGTGCTCAGTGAGCTCATCTCTAGACCGCCTCTTCATTCCCCCATCTCTCCCTCACTCACCCACCCAGGCATCCTAGGTGGGTTGGCAGAAGGCTCAGACCCTTGTGGGAAGGCCACAAAGTGACAGAGCCACCCACTGCCCCCCCTCGTTGCGGGGCAGATAAAGGGGCGCCGGCCTCCTCGGCCTCGCCCTGGTCTCCTGCCACCTTATCTGCCCTGGGGAAGACAAGGACCCAGTTAGAACGTTTTAGCCAGGCCTCCTGGCATATTTACACGTTATCTCTGCCATTAGGCCGGCAGTTATCTGATAATCGGGCCCATTAAGGCCACAGCCTGCCCAATCGGGGCTCCAGGAAGTGGGGCCGCCACAGCAGCGCTTGCTCGGGGACCAGGCCAGGCCACGTGAGGCCTTCGTGGGCCCAGGCAGCCTGTATGGCACCTGAGGCCTAAGGTGGCCTGGCCTTCTGAGCAGAGGTTGTGCAGCCTAGGGAGGCGAGGCTGCCATCTGAGGGCATGGCCACCACCATCCCCTTGTCCGATGAGGACACTGAGGCAGGGACGGGGGTAAATGCAGGTGTGATTCTCCCAGGGCAGAATTTGTACAGCTGATAAATTTGTACAACCTTGGTGGCTTAGAACATCAGAAATTTATTCTCTCACAGTTCTGGAGCCAGAAATCCCAAATCCACGTGTTAACAGGGCCTCGCTCCCTCTAGAGCAGCGGTTCTCAACCTGCGGGTCGCGACCCCTTTGGGGGTCAAACGACCCTTTCACAGGGGTCGCCTAAGACCATCCTGCATATCAGATATTTACATTACGATTCATAACAGTAGCAAAATTACAGTTATGAAGTAGCAACGAAAATAATTTTATGGTTGGGGGTCACAACATGGGGAACTGTATTTAAAGGGCCAGAAGGTTGAGAACCCCTGCTCTAGAGGCTCCAGGGGAGGGTCCTTCTTGCTTCTCCCAGCTCCTGGGGCCCAGGCGCAGCTTCCTCCTGGCCACATCACTCCATCTCTGCCTGTCTTCACACCGTCTTTTTCCTCGAGTCTCTCTTCTGTGTCTTTTTCCTGTGTCTCTTATAAGAACACTAGAGGCCTGATGCACAAAATTTGTGCAAGAGTAGGCCTTCCTTCCCCCAGCTGCCGGCACCAGCTTCACTCCGCCACCGGGGACCCAGCCTTCCCTCCAGCCACTGGCAGGCACCCGGGTCCCACCCTCGCAGCCCCGGCTTTGTCTGGAAGGACGTCGGTCTAATTAGCATATTATGCTTTGATTATTATAGATTCTTCATTGATTTAGGGCCCATTGGATGATCCATAATGGTCTCATCTTGAGAGCCTAACTTGATTATATCTACAAAGACCCTTTTTCTAAGTAGGGCACAATCACAGGTTCCGGTGGAAATATCTCTTGGGGGCCACCATTCATTCTACCACACAGGTCATATGGAACGTGTGGCAAGCCTGGGCTGAACCTGGGAGCCTGAGTGTAGACCCTGTCCAAATCCAAGTTCCCACCCCGTGTTAATGACCACTGTAGGGCCTCACAGCTGAGGTCCATCTGTCTGTGGAAACGTAATGGAATCCTGGCTCTACAGTGGATGCCACTCCTCTAGCCATGCTATGGAGTCATGGCCAACACCACACAAGCTGGCAGAGCCCAGAGAGGGTGGCCCTTCTCATGGCACAGGGAACCTCAGGCCCCTGGGAGCCTTACAGCCTCAGCTAGGAGACAGGCCATGAGAGAGGCCATGGCTAGCCAAGGACCTCAGCAAGAATCAGGGTCCAGATTTTCCAGAAAGTGCACGATGGTGTGGGAGCAGCACAGTCTGGGGTCACCCCTCATCATCAGGGAGTAAATGGAACTGATCTCAGCACCACCCAGGTGCAGATTCTGGCTTTGCTGAGGCCCTGGCTGTGTGCCTCCGATGCCCCACCAGGCACTGTGCTAAGCATGCTAGGTGGATTAACTCATTCAATCCTCGTACCACCCAAGGAGGTAGGAAGTATTGGGGATCCCATCTTATAGATGAGGAAACCAAGACCCAGCATTTCCACAGCTGCCCTCACAAGCCAGCTGTGCAGATTCGGGGATTCAGCCCATGGGAAGGGGTTCTTCATTGATTTAGGGCCCATTGGATGATCCATAATAGTCTCATCTTGAGAGCCTGGGAGGACAGTGCGATGGGATGGCAGTGGGTCTCATCATCATCATCCTCTGCTCTGTGCCCATCCCAGTGTAGACAGCAGGGGTGGCTTGGCTCCATGCATGCATCCTGGGTGCATTGCCAATGCCACCCTGGGCTGCATGAGGGTCACAGATGTTCCTGATACAGTGGCTCTAGTTCCAAGGCCACACCTGTCCCTGACAGAGCAGCCGTACACCCCAAGCAATGCACCTGCCTGCTCAAATCCAGCTGAAGGCACCCCTCATTGTCCTCTCTCTGCAGCCCATTGTCTCCAGGAAAGGTCTTGCCACAGGGGCTGGCCGGGCCCCTGAAGCAGGCACCAGCCAACATCCCTGTAACTCAGGCCTAGCCCACAGGGCAGTACTCCCTCCTCTGCCCTGCAGCCCCCTGACTGTTTCTGGAAGGCTGAGGCCGCAGAGGTAGGCTGGACCTGGGCAGGCAGCAGGGCTGGGTGGTCACCATGGCTGGCGCTCCTCACACCTCTGATGTCTCTCCCCACAGACGAGCTGGAGCAGGTCCTGCAAGATGGGCAGAGGTGTGTGCGGGCTCGACGCAGCCTTGCTGAGGGCCTATCCTGGGGCCCATTCCACGGGAGCATCCAGAGCAGAGCCTCATCCCCCAGGCAGGCAGAACCGGTAAGGAGCCCCAACCACGGCTAGCCCACCCTCTGGCCATAGGGCAGCAGCCAGGGAAGCATCCCACCCAGAGCACAGGCCCCTTACACCCCCTGAGCCAGTCCGGGAGCTCCCACCACTTCATGTGAAATACATCAGAAGATGTGGGTGTTGGGACCAGGAGGGCTTCCTGGAGAGTTCAGAGACCAGAGCCCCCAAGGGACCTTGGGTGATACAGGGAGGGCTTCCTGAAGGAAGGGTTTTTAAGGGTCCCTTCATGGATGAGTAGAAGGTGGTGAGGCAGAGAAGGAGAAGGGCTTTCAAGAGGAGGAAGCAACAAGGAGCCAAGTGGTAGGGCTGGACCCGGTGTTTGGCCGTGTGGCTGGGAGGAAGTCAGGGACCTCACCCCCCGTCCAGGACTTTATGGGCAGGGGCCCTCCTGGTGGTAAGCCAAGTGGTCTTCTGGGCACTTGGGGACAACTGCAGCAGGAAGCAAGAGATTCATTCTGGTTTTGTCCCTGTGGGTCCTTCTGAGGACAAGGAGAGGGCACCTGTGGTGCCTGAGTGTCACAGCACCTCTTCAGCTCTTGCTAATCTCCCTCTTTAACAAAGAATCCCCGCCTGGGCAGCACCCTCCCCCTAGATGAGAAAAGCACCAGGGTAGCTGGGCAGGGCAAAGGAGAAGTGATCCACAAGTGCCTACCTCAGGGCACTAGAGCCAGCAGCCCTGCAGCAGGGATGATCCTCTTGTCCTCTGGCCCCAAGCAAGGAGGAAACGGCGGAAACTCCAGGATGGATTTCGGCTTTGTGGAAGGGGCCTGATTGGGCTCCACAGTGGGATGGGGCCTATGGTGTTTAGAGCAGTCTCTGGAGGCAATGAGCTTCCTGTCACTGGAGGCATTCAAGCAGCAGTTGACTCTTCAGAGGTTAGACTGCTGGGAGGCAGTTAATAGTTGGAAGGAGGAGGGGGTGGGGCTGGGAGCTCTGTGGCTCTGGTCTCTGAACTCTCAAAGTGTAAAGAACACCTATGAGCGGTGACAGGACAAAGGCAGGGTGGCTGCGGGCTTGGGGTCTCAGCATGTTCTGAGTGGAGTCTGCACCCATCTCCTGTGCTCTCTCCTGGGGATTATCAGCCCCTTCCAAGGTGGACAGGTGTGTGTTCCAAACTCTCTGCCCACACGGTGCTGTGTGCCCATGCTTACACACAACACCTCCTTTCCTCCCCCTCCCACCCTGTGAGGCAGGACTGCTGCCCCTGTTCTACAGATGAGGAAACGGGTGAAGTGACTTGCCAAAGCCAACCAGATCAAACAGCAGAGGGAGAATTGGAACCAATGTCTGCCCAACCCCAGGGACCCCTGCAGGCTCCATAGGGACAGGGCTGAGGAGTCCGGAGACACGGCCCTCCCCTCCCACCTGCAGCTCCTCTCTGGAAGTTTTGTCCTCCTGGGGCCTGGGGCACAGGTCAGCCTGGGGAGACTTGGCACGAGGCTGGAAACGCTCTCCAGGCAGAGATAATGTCCGAGGGGAGTGAGGGTGCGAGCACCGGAGAAGCCAGCAACCTTTGAGGCTCTTGCGGAGGAGCCCAGGGAGGAAGGAGCCTCGCCTGCTCTTCCCTGCAGCTTTATCTCCCGCAGAATTAAATCCCTGATTAACCCTTATCTCCCCAGGAGGCGCTATCTCTGCCTTGGCGCCGAGTGTCCAGACGCAACGTACAAGATGATTGATTTCTTAAAGATACGCGAGCCTTTCTGATACTTCATTTATTGTCTAAATATTTTTGCTAACGTTTCAGTGGGCCCCTTATCGAGCTCAGCTGATGGGTCCCAGTTCTCTCCTCCAAGCACCTCCTGCCCCAAATCATCCTATCAGCCGCCTGGCGGTATTCACTCTTTCAAGAGGGAGGAGGGGGAGGGGCGCCGAAGGGGTGTATTGGCCCTTTCCTGCTGGGGGTGCAGGCTGGAGAGGGGACAGGGTGGCCGGACTCTGGGAGTGGGAGCTTTAGGAAGGACACAGAGGGCACAGAGCCTGGCAGCGGATTAAGAGTTGGTTCTGGCACCAACCTGCTGTGTTAACTCAGGCAGGTCCTTCCCTGATCCAGCAGCAGTTTCCACTGTTGAAAACGAGGGCTTGGAGGCCCAGCCAGCTCTAAAATTTGCAGTCAGTACAAGAGAAATGTTCAGGATGGATGGTGGATGGATGGGTGGATGAGTGGATGGTGGATGGGTAGATAAATGCATGACAGATAGATGGATGGGTGGATAAATGAAAGAATGGGCAAATGAATGAACAAACTTTCACCCCCAGCTTGGTCCACATTTGCTTGGCCCCTCTGTGTCCAGGGCTCACCCACTTTAGCCATAAGACCATCACAACATCAGTGAGACCTGGGAGGGACCCCATGGCAGCCAAGCAGGGCAACAGGTTCACTGGAGAAAGACCCTGCCTGAGAGGTTGAAGTGGGACCCCCTGGGCCCTGACCTACCATGTGGCCCCAGGTGTCTTTGCCCCGAATCAGTGTAGAGGATGGGCCTCCTTGGTCCTTCACCTGGAGATGGAGGTGGGGGTGGGGCTGGGGCCCTTGGCTCTGAGCAGCTTTCCATGCAGGAAGCCTCGAAGGCTGGCACCAGGGGTCACTGCCATGGCAGAGCCAAACCTCACTACAGGGCAAGCTCTGGCCAGAAGCCTGGGGAGGGGGGGGCGCTGAGGCAGGGTGCCTGGGTACACTCCTGGTGATGCCCCTCTCTCCCTCTTTGGTTCCCATTTACGTTTGTTTGTAATAGGGAAGAATGCCCCCTGCCCATCACTGCACTGCTTTCCCCTGACGTCTGGGACACCCAACCTGGGTGTGGGGTGCTGTGAGTTCTTTACCCAGGTGGGGAGGCACTGCAAGCTGCCCTGCATCCTGCTTAGTGCACCTGCTGAAATGTTTCCCAGCATTCCACGTCAGGGCGGCTTCTTCCCCACGCGCCAGGTGCTGCTGGCTGCAGCTGTCCAGCCTCCATGTTCCCACCTGGACATGTTGTGACACACCCTGACAGCAGGCGGTTCTGACACACTAAGATCTGGGCACAGCAAGGCAGCACCGGAGCTGGCCTGCCAGCTATGCCTGCCCACGTCCCTGCCCCACCACTGCCTCCTTACTTGCCAGCCCGTGGGCCTGTCCATGCCCCTGCTGCTCCCAGGGACCTCTTCCAGCCATCGCAGCCCATTGTCCTCTGCTCAGTATACCCAGCAGCCCATGGGACCTCACAGGAAATGCCCTGTGGCTCTGCTGCTCCCTTCCCCTTCCCACATTACTGAAGGGTAGCCTGGCCCAGACCCGGGGTGCCAACAGGTCACTAGGACCATGATGGTCAGGCCCTGGACGAGAGCTTTACCCTGGCACTGTTAACTCACCTTGGCCATGAGGCAGTTCAGAGAGGACCCCAGAATGTAAGAGTTTCCCGTGGCTGCTGAACAAAGTGCCACAACCTGGTGTCTTAAGCAGAATTATATTCTCTCCTAGTTCTGAGGCCAGGGGGTGGCAGGGCTGGTTTCTTCTGGGTCTCGGAGGAAGGATGCATTCCAGGCCTCTCCTCAGCTTCTGGTGGCTGCTGGTGGTCCTTGGGGTTCCTTGGCTTGGAGATGTGTCAGTCCCACCTCTGCCTCTTCTTCTCTCCCTGTCATTGGATTTAAGACCCACGTGGATAATCCAGGATGATTTCACCTGGCTTTCCTTAATTTAATCACATCTGCAAAGACCCTTTTTCCAAACAAGGTCACATTTGGGCTCTGGGTGGACATATCTTTGGGGGCCACATCCAGCCGGCTCCACAGAGCCAACAGTCAGCAGAGCGAGGGCCCAGCCAGGTTGGCCCCTGGCTCTGCATAGGACAGCCCCGAGGGGATGCTCAGGTCTGGGCTTGGCTGGAACACCGGGGTAGGGAAGAGGGCATTGTGGGGTGTCCTGGAGACAAGCTCCAGACAGGAGACCTGCTGCTGGCTTTCCTAGGTCCCTGGCACCCTTCCGCTCCATGCCTCAGTTTCCCTACCTGCAGTTGTGGGAGCTGGGAAAGTGCCACAGGGTCTGGGAGGTGCTGTCGGCAAGAAGGGGCTCCAGCTACAGAGTCAACCCAGACTGGCCTGCAGGGGATCCAGGAGGAGGACTCAGCTGGTGTCAAAGACCCGGGACCCCTCCCACCACACCAGAAAGACTATTGTCCCCTCCCCTATCGTCTGCCTCCTCCAAGTCCCATTCCCACTGATGCCCACACAGTGCTCCTCCTCACCCCTCCAGGCCTCACCCCACTGTCCTGGCTACAGCTGCCCATACCCAGCTCCTGCCCCACCAGGCCTCAGCCCTTCTCAGCCTTGTCCTGTTTCTCCAGCACTTTCCCTTCCAGCCTCCACAGCTTCTTTCTTGCTGGCCTTTCCAATCCAGCATCCTGCCAAGACATCAGGGACTGCATGTTCTGTTAATGGTGCCCTGCACCTGGCACAAAGCATGCCCTCATTCATTCAGGGCAGCATCCTGCCAAGACATCAGGGACTGCATGTTCTGTTCATGGTGCCCCTGCACCTGGCACAAAGCATGCCCTCATTCATTCGGGACTATTTGCCGAATGATTGAATGAATGAATGATTGAATGAATGAATGAAAAAGCTGCAGTGATTCAATGGAGATCATGCATACCTGGGTTATAATCCTATGTGCAGAAGCCACCACCACCACCACCACCCCTCCCATGGCCTTGGGCGCCATTAACCTCTGTGGGCCTTAGTCTCCTCTCCTGTGAAATGGGTTCTTCACAGGGTCTGGGGAGACAAAGGGGCCTGAGGACTGAAAGGCCATTGCCTCTGGCAAGGTGAGCTGGGGACGTGGGCGGGGCTTCTCAGGATGGGCTGAAGGACTGAGGACTGAAGTTGGGGGGGCCCCAGTCAGAGCCCACTCTGGCCTGCCCCAGTTCTGCCCTCTCAGGAACCTGCCTGTGGTAACCTGGGGGAGGGCCAGTGGCCCCGCTGACCTTCTGCAGGGCTGTCTGCTCCCTGTGCCAGGCCACCCTCCCCCAGAACAGGGCCCCCACCTCACCCTCTATGCGGCTTCATGAGAAGCACTGCGAGGTTTGGGAACAGCCTCAGATAAAGTTGTCACAGCGGATGCGGCGGAGATAGGGTTTCTGATGGTTATCGGTGGGCACAGAATCCAGACACTGACCTCTTTGTTGGGGAAACAAGGAGTGTTCTCAGATGCACCCAGAGAATTTAAAGTGGCCGCCCGTTATCCTGGGGCTGGGTGGGGCCGCCCTGGAGCCAGGAGGGAGGAACGGGGGCAACCCTACGGGGCTGTAGGCAGGGCAGGCAGGGCTTCTCGCTGGCTCCTGATGGGGCTGAGAGCGAGCTAGACCCACACTGGGCACCCAGCCTGGGGGCACCCATGGAGGAAAAGCAGCTGGTGGTACACACGACTCTGTTAGTTTTGGCTGGAGGGCCAGGGGAAGTTGTGAATAGTCCCCTCCAAGCTTGCTCCCCCTGCCCACAAGGCAAGGCAGGCTAGGAAGGAGGCCTGTCTCTGCCCAGCGCCTTCATCACCAGAGAAAAGGGCTTCTGTTCCGAGGCTGCTCGAATTGGGGAGAATATAGTAGGGAAAAAGGAAAGAAAATAAAGGGGCAGCCCCATGTTATGTCAGCCCCTCCACAGAGGGAGTGGACTGAAATTTGCCCCTCACCTGGGGCTCAGCGTGCTCCTGCAGGCAGGGAGGTGGCCTTCAGGCTGCAGCCAGCAGACATGGGGGTCCAGCTGCCTGGCATAGGGCTAGGGACTGGCTCAGGGCTGGCTGGGGGGTGGGATAAGGGCAGGCTGGGCAAGGCCATGCTACATTCTCCAAGAGCCAGGGGTCCCTGCACCCCTCGGAGCCAAGTGCCACTCAGGTGGTTGTGCCCCACCCTTTTCCAGCCTTCCCCATTTAAGTGGGGGACCAGCCCACCTTGGTGTTAAGGGCTGAGGGAATGTGGGGGTGAAAGTCAGTCATAAAGTTCTGGATCTCCTCCTGGGAATCAGGTGTAGGGTCTGGGACAGAGCCCCCTTTAGGCCCCTGCATTCCCTCCCTCCTCACTTGCCCTCACAGATAGGGGCTGTCACCTAGCCCAGCCAGGGCAGCCACCAAGCGCAGGTGCTCAGTACCCACTGGGACACAGAGATGGGCTGCTCTGGGCAGAAGGCACAAAGCTGGCCGGGGACATGGCGCCACTGCCGTCCGTCCGTCAGCTTAGAACGTACATGGAAAATTAGGGGTTCTGCAGCGTCAGCAAAGCTGAGCGCGGGGGTTTTTATCATGCTGCGAACACGCGCTCCTGAGAGTGATAAGCATTAAACCGACCGGGAGGCTGTCAGTCTCAGTGTGAGGGTTTAGAAATATTGGGACGAATAATTAGATTTCATATCGTTACCGCAGCACCCATCGGAGGATCAGGCAGATTAATTTTTTTTCACCCTCCTCTACTCATTAATATTCATTAGAGACTCAAGGAGACCCAGCCTCTGCCTTGCTGCTGGTTCACCCACCGCTGTGCCAGCACCCCCCATCCATTCTACTTTGCCCTAGGCCTGACCCCCTGCTGTAGCCCCAGCAGATGTCCCAGCCAGCAGGGACCCCTAGCTGGCACCCAGCTCCCACCCCTGCTCTGCAGTGTCAGAATCACCAGGTGTCAAAAGGAGGGAGCTGCTTGCCATCAGCCGGCCTGAAAGCAGGCTCGTTGGTGGAGATGCCCACCCCAAGTTGACATTTAGCAATTGCTGGCCCGGTGCCCCAGTGGACACCAGGCTCCTGGCCCCAGAGGCACAGGTCCTACTTGGTGTGTCCTATTGGCCAAAAGGAATGCAAAAGCAAGGGTGTTAGTGGTAGGGGCTTGTTTGCCATGTGCTGGTCACATACCAGACAGGTACTGTTCCAAAGGAGGGCTTCACACAGATTGCTTCTTCCCAATGCCCTAGGGCCGTGGTCGGCAAACTGCGGCTCGAGAGCCACATGCGGCTCTTTGGCCTCTTGAGTGTGGCTCTTCCACAAAATACCATAAAATACCACGTGCGGGCGCGCTCTTTGGCCCCTTGAGTGTGGCTCTTCCACAAAATACCATAAAATACCACGTGCGGGCGCACACGTACAGTGCGATTGAAACTTCGTGGCCCATGCACAGAAGTCGGTACTTTGTGGAAGAGCCACACTCAAGGAGCCAAAGAGCCACATGTGGCTTACAAGCCGCAGTTTGCCGAGCCGCAGTTTGCCCACCACTGCCCTAGGAGAAACTGAGTCACAGAGTCATGGATGAGACATGCCCTGCAGGCAGGTGGCAGGGCAAGGATGGGTCCAGAGTGAGCAAGCAGACTCAGGCCACAGTTCCGATCAGGAGGGGCATCACCCATTTGCAGAGAGATGCCAAGACCCAGGGAGGGCTTCGTGGTACTGGGACAGGTGGAGCTCTCCCTGACCCACTGGCCAGCTGTTCTCTGCTCACCTGTTCCATGACCAGGGTGCTCCGACCTGGCTGGGAGTTCTTACCGGGAGTGCCCGGCACACCGGCCTGATCTCGCAGGGTCCCTGAGTCTGCCACAGGGTGGGGACAAGATGCCGAGGTAGTCAAAGGGGCGATGCCCTGCCCAAGGTCACAGTGGGAAGGTCAAGCCTGGACTGGATCCCAATGCCCAGCTCTGGAGCCCCTGTGGTCCCCACAGCCAAAGCCCAGGAGAGTGGCGTGGGCTCAGACCTGGCGTGGAGGTGTCCGGAATCCATCAGAGGACATCCCACACACCATGTCCTGCCCTGGGCATCCCACCATGGCAGCATCCCCACCAACTGCCATGTGCACAAAACCACTGCCATTTAGGTGGTAGCATTTTCAGGTGACAGCAAGTGACACTGATTCTTTAGTTAAAGGTCCTGATGCTCAGACCTTTCTAAGTAAAAGGCATTTATTAGCATAAAACAAAAAGTGCCCAAATGTTGACGTGTGCCATAACTTTCCATATGGGACTCAGTTGCTAAGCTTGGGGACCTCCAGGAGGAGGATCCCAGAACCGGGGTCCAGTGCTGGGGCTGAGGCCCAAGAGGCAGCAGCGGTCACACCCACTTCTTTTTTTTTTAAATATATATTCTATTGATTTTTTTACAGAGAGGAAGGGAGAGGGAGAGTTTGAAACACCGATGAGAGAGAAACATCGATCAGCTGCCTCCTGCACATCTCCCACTGGGGATGTGCCCGCAACCAAGGTACATGCCCTTGACTGGAATCAAACCTGGGACCTTTCAGTCCGCAGGCCGACACTCTATCCACTGAGCCAAACCGGTTAGGGCTCACCCCCACTTCTTCAGGCAAAAAGGGCCACGGTTCTGCCCTGCCCACCAGCCAGCCATGGGTCTGCACCCCAACCCCATGTGTAACCAAGAGCTGGGCCACAGAGTGGGGCTGCAGGCGGCCGATCCCCGGCCAGCCGTTTCCAGGCACAGGCTGCACTGGGACAGGGGACACGTGTTTCCTCTGCTTAGCTGGGCTCCGGAAATCAGGCCACCCCCTCCGAAGCCCCGCGGACAGCAGCCTTGAGAGCCTAATCCAGAACTCTTTCCTTCCGGATACTGCAAAAGCCAGCTTGCAGACCCTGCCGGGAGGGAGAACACTGCTGGGCAAGAGGCTGGCGTGACCGTTCCCTCCCCTCCCCCTTCCTTAAGCCTCACTTTCCTCCCTGTGAGACTGGAGGACACGGCCTGCTCTCCAGGCTGGCCCAAGGCTGGGTGGGCAAGGGGCTGTTCTCGGGAGCCATGTGGAGGGGGCCAGGGACTGAGCCAGGCTCAGCATGGGGACATTGTACTACTTGGGGACCTCAGTGAGTGGTTGGGCCCAGGAAGGTGTTCTTTGAGTATCTGCCATGTTCTGGCCCCGGGATGGTCTGAACAAAAGTGGGCCTACCCTGCCCTGCAATGGGTAGGGAGCCCCACTGTCTGGGAGGACACGGAAGCCCCTTTCCTGGGGGCCTGCCATCTCCTCAGGACCAATCTCTGCCTCTCCCCATCGAGGCCCTGGGGGCCCGTGTGGGAGGAGCCTATGCCTGGTGCAACCCCATGCACCCCGTGGATTTCACGAAAACCCAGCAGCCTGCTAAGATGGGGGTGGGGGTGGTAAGGAGAGAACACAGGTCTGTGTGTGAATTCCCTCTGTCACTGGCTGGCTGAGTGACCTTGAATATGTTGCTTGATCTCTCTGGACCTCAGTTTCCAAGAGAACCCAGCTCCTAAGCTCTGAAAGGTACCACTAGCACAGCATTTGACAGGGAACAGGCCCACAGCCTGGTCCAGCCATCCTACCAGGTGGTCTCTTGGGCTTCCCCGCATGTGCCCCGTGGAGAACCCCTAGCTGGGCTCTTCCCATTCTCTGTCCGTGCTGACCCCCTCCTTTCTGCCCCCAGAGCCCGGCCCTGACCCTGCTGCTGGAGGACGAAGCCTGCTGGCTGAGGACACTGCCCCGGGCCCTGACGGAGGCTGAGGCCAATGTGGAGATCCACAGGAAGGGTTGGTATCTGGCGCTTCCCTCTCTGCCTTCCGGAAGGTGGAGGTCCTCTCCCAGGGCCGGCTCTTAAAGGGAAACCAGCCTGCTCTGGGCCGGGCCAAGGGACTGGCCAACACACCCCTAGCACTCTGATTAATGCCCACCTGGGGTCGCACAGATGTCTGCCCTGGAATGGGGGAGCAGGGTCAGGAAGCCAGGACCGCTCTCAGGGCCTCGGGGATACCTCCAGGGCAGCGGAGGAGCCCAGGCCAGGGAGGCCAGGGACCCAGCAACAGGTGCCCACTGGACCTGCCTGTGCATTTTGGCCACTCCTGCCTCCCTGCACCTTCTGGAGGGAGGGTCCCTGGAGGCAGAGCCTGGGTGAGGAGGAGGGGGAACAAGATGGGGGTCCTTGCCCCCCTCACCTTCTCAATTCAGAGTCTAGGCCAGGCAGATTCAGGGGCTACCATCTCCATCACCACAGCCCTGCTGCCCTGAGTGGTCTTATTCCTGAGGAAGGTGTGGCATGGCTTCCAGTGTGTGAGGGTCAGGGTGGTGTGGACCCTGCGCACCTTCTGGAGGGAGGGTCCCTGGAGGCAGAGCCTGGGTGAGGAGGAGGGGGAAAAAGATGGGGGTCCTTGCCCCCCTCACCTTCTCAATTCAGAGTCTAGGCCAGGCAGATTCAGGGGCTACCATCTCCATCACCACAGCCCTGCTGCCCTGAGTGGTCTTATTCCTGAGGAAGGTGTGGTGTGTGAGGGTCAGGGTGGTGTGGACCCTGCCCCCCATTACAGATGAGGCTCAGGCCCCAGGGGAGGATGTGGAGACATCCTCGTGACTTCTACAGACAGGAGGGCTGTTGGCCATGTGACCAGCCAGGAGGGCTGTGCACCTACTGACCACAGGAAACATACCTCATTCCCCATTTTGCTAAAATGTTCTGGGGGGTGTCACCCTCACCACCACCTCCTGAGCACACAGCACATTTGGCTGAACACCCAGTGGAGGCAGAGCTCCATCCTGAGGGTGGCTTTGATTTCCAGACAGAGCCAAAGGCCATTGGAGATAAGCAACAGTCCTGTGACCAGCTCCTCGGCCCGGCCCCTACCCACCTGGGGGCTGCCAGGGCCTGGCAGGGGTACAGAACGGATGCTGGGCTCAGCATCTGGGGACCTGGGCTTTCCATCCTGCCCTGCAGTCAACCATGCACCTGGTCCCAACGCTTCACCCTCTGTACCTGTTTCCCCATCCACAGGGGGGAGGGAACCCTGGTCCCTCCTCCCCACCAAGGGGTACTCTAAGGACCCAGAAAGCAGCTATCTGGGGACCTGGGCTTTCCATCCTGCCCTGCAGTCACCCATGCACCTGGTCCCAACGCTTCACCCTCTGTACCTCAGTTTCCCCATCCACAGGGGTGAGGGAACCCTGGCCCCTCCTCCCCAAGGGGTACTCCAAGGTCCCAGAAAGCAGCTAGAGGAGAGGGCTGGGTCTTGGCAGTGAGTAGTCAGCCATGAGACTATACACCCAGCCAGGACGTGGGTCAGTTAGCACTACTTGGCCCACCCTTCTTCCTAGCCTGGTCAGCAGGGCTCTGGCCACCTGTGTCTGTCCAGGCAGGATAAGGGTCCTTGCAGTTAGTAGCCTTGTGCTGGACACTGGAGGTGGATTATTGGGCAGCTCGCCAGGGTCCTGTTGGATAAGGCTGCCCCCTGCAGGCCACCTTGAGAACAGTGCACCAGCAGAGTTGAATGGAGCAGGCTTGCCAGTCCAGGGCCTGGCCCAGTGGCTACCAGGCGCTCTGCCACCTGTCCTCCATGCCGCCCCTCTCCTGGAAAACAAAGCTCTGCTGGCACCCTCAATTTCCACTCAATGGGTTCAGCTCAGGGCAAGAAAGCCCAAGGAGGGCTAGGGTAGGCCTGGGGGACCACCCAGCTGCCCCACAGATGCAGGACGACTTGTGGAAACCAACCAGCCACAGCTGTGCACCAGGCTTGGTCACTCCCTAACTGTGGCCTTGGCTCCATCCCCCATCCTGGGCTTCAAAACTCTAGTCTCTAAGATGAGGTGCTCGAGAAGATAAGAGGGGAGTCTTTGCAGAGCTGCTGTGTCCTGGAGGGCCTGGAGCTGCTGGTCCTCCCATCACCGTGCCCTTACCCCTGCAGATGGAGCCCTCTGGTGCAGGCTCACCAAGCCAGTGCCAGCAGGGGGACTGCTGAGCGTGCTCCTCGCAGCCGAGCCCCACAGCACCCCCAACCACCCTGTGAAGAAGGAGCCTGCAGAGCCCGAGTGCCTGGCTCCCTCACACACTGACATCCAGCTCCTGCCCCAGCAAGCCGGCATGGCATCCATCCTGGCCACAGCAGTCATCAACAGTGAGTACCACCCTCGGGCCACCCCAGGTGCATGTGAGGACCAGCACAGTCCCCAGGCGCAGGGCTGCAGGTGGTACTGAGGAGCTCAAGATCTACAAGATCTGTGACCACTGGATCGGAGCAGAGGAGGAAGTGTGCTGCAGGAGACATGCACAGGGAACTTGAAAGAGGGGTTCCAGGAGGGGGAGGGGCTCCAGGCTGCAGCCAGCTCATGAGAGCAACAAGGTTGGCTCATGAATAGTGATGGGGCAGCCCTGAGCAGGCTGCAGGGAGGCAGGGCAGCAGCGTGCAACTAGCTAGGGCACAGAGGCAGCAGGGTCCCCAGGGCCCGGGTCATACACTGGAAAGATCCAGTAAACAAGCACAAACCTGAGCCCGTGCCTCCCTCTTTGGAGCAGAGCAGGTTTGTTTCTCAGCCTCTGCTGGCATGTGGGCCACCCCTGGCCCTGCCCACTAAACACCGGTACTGCCCCCTTCTCAGCACACACTAAGCCTCGGAGAGTTGTTGTGAGAGTTAAGTGAGATTCACACATTCCACAAATACTTGTTTAATATCCACACTGAACCAAGCAGTGGAGGCACCAGGATCACCGAGGCAGGGCGCTGGCCAAGCCTGAAAGGACCAATACACCAGAGAGGTGACCTTACTTGGAGGTGGTGGCAGCAGTGGAGGGTACGTCCCAGGAAAGAAAGCAATGACATGGTCAGACAGTAGCAGGGCTACTTTAGTGGGTGCCTGGGAAAGTTGCTCGGACATGAGAGCAGTCAGGTTTGGACCTGCATACCGGGAAAGAGCAGCTAAGTGGTCACCCACCAAGGCCCAGGAGGTGGTCACTGTGGTTGGAGCCAGGCAGTGCAGCAAGCGCAAACTGGGCAAATCTGAGGGTGGTTCTAGGCAAGAATGGGATTTCTTCTCAGAGCAAGGAGACCGCCCTAGAGGCTTTAAACAGCAAAGGGTGTGATCCAATCTGGTTTTAAAATCACCCTGGCTGCTGGGTGGTAACTGTGGGGTTGCAAAATTCTAAGAGGAAGCTTTTTGAGCAAGTCAAAGGTCATTTGATGCAAGTGGATGCAGCTAAGGCATAGCCTGATGGGACATTGGAGCCCACAGGGACCAGCCAGCTACAGTTGGGTGGGTGAGGAGGCGGCAGCAATCAGGAGGCCAGGAACTTCGGTGTGACTGGCTCGGTGGATGTTGGTCTGCACCTTTGCTGGCGGGAGAGTCAGTGAGGAGAGCTCTGCTGAGTATCCTGACCTCTAGGTGGCTGGGAAACGTGTGCTGGGGCTCAGGGCACAGTCAGAGCTCCACAAGCTCCCTGGGGAGCCCTGGGGCAGGATGAGACTCCCAGGGAGAGACAGGGCCTGTGGACACTAGAGTTGCAGGAGGGGGGCGGGGTCTGCCGAGGGAGGTGGTATCTGCTGTGTCCAATTGTTTTTCTTGTTTTTTTAATTATTGATTTTGAGAGAGAGGAAGGGGGAGAATCGATTTATTGTTCCACTTATTTATGCACTCATTGGTTGATTTTTGTATGTGCCCTGACCAGGGATTGAACCCACAACACTGGCTTATGGCTCTAACCAACAGAGCTGGCCAGGGCCCCAGTTTAATTCTTGAAACTCCACCACTCTGGGAAGTTTCTCACCTGTTAAGTGGGGATAATGGCAATACCAGCTCGAGGTGTTTGTGCAAGTGACTTGGGCTGTGCCCACCCAGGACTTGACCATTGGTCAGTCCACCTGTGGTCAGTCCTGGGTGGCTGTGGCTTGAGCTGGCCTCCAACGCTCTGACCCCTCTCTTGACTCTGAGGCCTGCAGCACAGTCCCCAGCATTGACCTTGCAAATACATTTTTAAAAAAACACTGGTGGCCTCAGGTTCCCATTTCAGGTCAAGGCCTCAGCTGATACAGAACAGAGCTGCCTTGAGCCCCCAAATAAAAGGGAACTTGAAAAGCAGAGTAAACACAGTAGGAAGGGAACAGAACCAGAAAAACTGCAAGTAGGGGGCACGAGGGTGGCCACCTCGCCCAGACAGGTACTAAATTCCTGAAGAGAAGTGGAGAAAATGGGAAACCTGGCAGCCTCCTGGGTGGAGGAGGAGCACCTGTGCAATAGTTATGGACCCAGGACAGACATCGGAGAAGCCAGGCTGAGAAACACATCCTAACCTGCAGAAGTAGAAACCAGATGATAAGGAACCCCAGGGCCCTTCATCCCTCCTCTAAATCAAGGTGCAGAACAAGCCCTCCCCTGACCATCTTCAGCCAAGAGGCAGCTGGCCACAGAGCAGGGGCAGACAAACAGAACATTCCTTTAAATTCTGCTATATAAACACACTGAGAACCAGAGAACGGGTGAAGCAGCCATCAGAGAAATCTTCACCTGCTGGAAAAATCAGCCCTGCGATCCAAACTCCTATAAACTGAAAAATTAAAGGCAGCTTATTTGTCGTAAATTTGGTGGATTCAACTGTGACCATTCAGTCAGTACCTGATGTGGAACCATCCACCTGTATGGGGGGTAACACAGGGACAGAAAGGGCTCCTCTTCCTTGCAGCTCCTGGCTTCACCTCCTGCCCACCCCTACCCCAGAAGCCACCCAGAGCCATGTTCAACTCTCATCCTGGTGCCTGAGTGCAGGGGATTCATGCACCTGGTCCCTGTGTGCCTGGCCACTCACACACCTGTTCACATGCACACACCTGTTTCATCCTCCACAAGCACCAGGGTCCACACCATCCCTCACAGCCCCCTTACCAGCACAAATGCACCGGCACACGCTTGCCCACCTTCCTCACCTGTACATGGTCACCCCCACGGAATAACTGACACAACCACGTCCTGGACCCGTCTCACTCCTGCAGGTGTCCACTAGCATGCCCATGCTCCTCCCATGAACACCCCATGAGGCCACAGCATCTCCTTATGGGGCTCACTGTTGGAAGGCAGCCTGGAGGGCATCCTGGAAACCCATAGAGAGGGCACCCCGGGTTATAAAAGGACAGATAAGAAAGGACAGCTGTGATGGGAGGAGGAAGACCAGGTCACAAACCTACTGCTTAAAGCAGGAAGACACCAGAGGCAACCAGGGCAGAGCCCTCACGTTGCAGAGTCCACTGCCTGGCCCTGGGTTGCAGGCGGCCCCTCTTGCTTCCGGAATGTCCCCTCAGGCTTCACCCACCTCTTGCCCCACAGAAGATGTCTTCCCCTGCAAGGACTGCGGCATCTGGTACCGCAGTGAGCGGAACCTGCAAGCTCACCTCCTGTACTACTGTGCCAGCCGCCAGAGTGCCGGCTCCCCTGCCACAGCCGCCGCTGACGAGAAGCCCAAGGAGCCATACCCCAACGAGCGTGTCTGCCCCTTCCCTCAGTGCCGCAAAAGCTGCCCCAGTGCCAGCTCCCTGGAGATCCACATGCGCAGCCACAGCGGTGAGGCTCCACTCCCCCTCAGAACCCCCGCCTGCTTGCTGATAGCGTGCCCACTGCGCCCAGGCGACAGATGCGCCTGTGTGGTCCTCCCACCATACCACACAGCCTCCCACAGCTCCCAGGGCATGAGGCCCATCTGTGGCTGTCTGAATGGTCAGCTCGGGGCTGGGCCCGGGCCGGGGTCCTGGGAGGCTTGAAGAGCCCTCCACACACAGCCCATGTCACGGCCCCTCACTGGGCCCTGTGTTCCAGGCGAGCGCCCCTTCGTGTGTCTCATCTGCCTGTCGGCCTTCACCACCAAGGCCAACTGCGAGCGGCACCTCAAGGTGCACACAGACACACAGAGCGGTAAGCAGGCTGGGAAGGGGGCAGGAGGCGGGTCAGGGGGTGTCTGTGGAGCCCATTGGCTCCAGGGCCCTGACACCACAGACCATCTGCAGGTGTCTGCCACAGCTGTGGCTTCATCTCCACCACAAGGGACATCCTCTATAGCCACCTGGTAACCAACCACATGGTCTGCCAGCCAGGCTCCAAGGCTGAGATCTACTCGCCAGGGGTCGGGCACCCCTCGGCCAAGCTCCCCCCAGGTGAGCCCCAGGGGCCCCCTCTGAGGGCTGGGAGGGGGCTAGTCCATGAGATACGAGAGGGTCAATTCGGTCTTGGCCCTCGACCACCTCTGCCCAGCCCAGCCCAGCTCTCCCTTCCCACCCTGCCCCTTCCTCAGGTCTGGCCCAGGCAGGTCCTGCTCCAGCCCTGAAGTGTGGCCCTTGGGGTCTCCCTGCAGACAGTCTACCCGGCTTCCAGCAGCTCACTGCCCTGCACGGCCCCCTGGCCTCCTCCGACCTGGGCCTGGGGTCCACCTCATCACCAGGACTGGACAGGAAAGCCCTGGGCGAGGCCACCAATGGAGAGGCCAGAACGGCCCCCCAGAACGGGGGCAGCAGCGAGCCCCCAGCAGCGCCCAGGAGCATCAAGGTGGAGGCGGCCGAGGAGCCCGAGGCGGGGGCAGGGCCCCCAG